GCCAGTAGTCTTAGAGTTATACTAGGCCGATCTTTTTATGGTCTGCGTCAATTTTTGTGTAAGTCACTTAGTTTAGGGCAGTCAGCTATCTGCAAGCTCTACCCTGCAATGCTTTTTTGTCATAATTTATTCAATAACCCCGCTTTTCAGTCTTAAGGACACAATGTAAAACTTTCTGTCCTTAAAATATTCCCCCACTGGCAAAGAGGCGACCCGATTGTTTAGAAAAAAATTTGTCCATTTAGTATTATAGGCATCATGTTATTATTGACAAAGACAAGGGCGATCGAAATGACAGGTTCTGGCGTATTCGTAGGCAGGCATTATCAACCCCGAGGTTAAGTGGTCGGGAGGTTGGACTTCTAGCAAACAAATTTGCGGGTTTGAGCTGCAGGGGTCGCCACCCCGGGAGTTAGGCATAGTTGTCTGATGGCGGCTACTTAGCTAGAAGTGGCCATTCTAGTTTCCCTTGCCTTTGTCGGTAATGTATATCTGTCTATAATATATGCTTTTCGTCGTGCAGGTGCTTGCGGGGCTGTTGAGTTTGAGGCAGCGGTCCGTCACACAAGCATTCTTAGGTCCTGACAAGTCATTTATTTACAGCCAAGCCACTCAATATCTCATAGGAAACTGTACTGACAGTTGCGGAGACACTTGCCTGAGCTTTTCGCCAGGTTTTCTGCATATTGTCTCTTTCTTCTTCATTTTATTCAGAGCAGCTGGTAAATTTTGAGAAGGTAGGACTTTAGAACAGGGAGTACTGACAGATGCAGGGGATACCGGGAGGATCATTTATAGGTAGCCTTATCCAATCCGAGGTTTGGGTGAACTGAGTTTTGATCCCGGATTCATTTTTGCCTGGTCTGGAAGTAGTCTCACAGTCTTCCATTGTCACAGGACACGCTCGTCCCACTGTCTTTGGTAACCGATCTAGAGCCCTCACAGGCAGTCGCATAGCCATTCGTATAATATATGCGAAGCAAGGAATTCCAACTGAGATCAGAGAGATCGGGATGGCCGCCGTCAAGCGGCCTTAACCAACCCTAGATTTGCAGGATCCCAGACACGAACTCCCGTTCCTTGATCATTAAGACCTTCCACCACTATTACTGTTCTTGATCACAACCGACAAGGTGACAGGCCTGTCCCTCAATAGTCTGGCACTGCACTGTATGAAGTTGAATGAATTTCAAGTCATGCAGGTCATGCAGTGTGGCTGGCTGATGCTGGCTAACTAGTCAGAAATACTCACCCCAATGAAACCTATATTTGTTGCTTGTCCTTCCTGTATACTTACCGTTCGCTTTGCCACCGTTTACGAGAGCTTCAGCATGAGGTCCGAGTCACAATGGGACGAATATACCTTGCAACTTGCTTGTTGAACTTTCATCTGCCAGAGAGGTACTACTGTTCATCCTCCGGTAATAGTTTGTGTAGTGCAGTATTTTAGAGACCCATCTAGATGTAATTAGTTTGCTAAATGGAAGTCGACCTGATTCCAGCTGCTGTTCATTACTCATCTATGGCTCCACGACGCTGCTTTGGTCAAATCTGAACTGGGGAAGTTGTGCAGGGTTTTTTCGTGACAGTATTTGCATTCTTGATTCATTCAGTGCGTGTACGTGGGAGTCACACTCAACGGCAGATCTGTTGTCGTGCCTTCTTTACTCGTTTTGACGGTGTCTCATCAGTAAAACGCAATGGACTTGAAAAGACAGTACACTATTTGACCCAGTGGTCTCACTCTAATCGAAATTACCCGCAACTCACTGGGGCAAGTGGTGGTCATCTTTTTGTTCAACGTCATACGCATGTTTAATCTGTGTGAAAACTTGTGTGGCTCATGGCCGATCCCGAATTGCGCGCTAACAGTGTGGGTGTGTGTCTTAAAAACACAGATTGGCGGTGCATACGTCTGGGCTTCAGCCGACCAGTTTCGCTGGGAGTATCAAGTTGTTATTTAATAAAACCTCCGAATTCTCTCGACAGTCAGCGCACCGAATGTTTATTTCAACGTTTAAGGTGAGTGCGTAAAGTCGCCACCGTACGCGTATTTCAAAAAATCAAAATGTCCCTCCACTGAAAAAAAAGTCAGCACTGGTCCTGTGATCCTGATCCGGTTTTGGCGTTGTAAACGGTGGTGTCTGGCATAAGCTTGCCTACCTTGCTGCCTGTTTAAGTCG